AAAGTACTCGCGGGAGCAATTGGAAGAAAAAATTGGCCCTGACATAATTCGGAAATTCCCACGAGTTCGCGACATGTTGGCCACGCACAAGTGAGGCCGTATTCACGTATCTCGGATTTTATCACAAGTCGGTTGGAGCGTATATTGCGTTATTGTAATATCTGTTGAGGCTACCTACATCTCGAACAATGTGTGTGATTAAGATTCGTAAATATAGCTCACAATGCGTAAGACTCCCTCTATATTTGACGTTGGAGACCACTTCTTGACATCGAACACCTTCTTGAAGTTGATAATAGCCCTCTCTTCTTCCGCTGGGTCCATGGTGTGAGCTCGTAGGGATCTACTTTCAATATTTTTGATCTGAAACTGGGTAGTCGGGTCGAAAGGTAACGATGCCCCTTTACTAGTGGTTAGGAACACAATGCCTAAAACTATCCCAACGGTGGTACGTCGCATTCTTGATCGCATTGTCGTCGAGTCTTGATGTGGAGCTTGTGCGCTTCTTCGCCAGTTCAGAACTGGCGAGTAGTAGCTACAGCGTAGGCACATTTAACACTTTGTTTCGCAAGGTTGTGTAGATATGACATAGCTAAACTCAAGTAAATGGCAAGGGAGAGATAAGCTCTTTACAAGTAAAAATGTACTACGGTAGAGACAAAAAAGAAGAAGAAAAAAGCTTCAGCAAAGGTGTCAATCTGACTCTGTTAGAAAAGTGCTGATGTGCTGATCACCTCGAGATCATCCGGTTGCCAATATTTGCAATGGAGGAGCTATCTAAAGCTTATGATTAGAGTAAGCAGCGATGAAGTGCCTGATCGCTAAATTACTCACACCTAGGCTTTTCATGTAATCTGCAGCGTCATCTAGAGGCATTATTCCTGTGACGAGGTCACACAGCACCTTGTGCAGAGGAAGTTTATTTCTTAGCACTAACTTTTGTCATGTTCAAATTATAACGCCCAAATGGCAGTAAATCTTGACTAAATGTCAATTCAAACTTTAGTTCCGCGCGCAAAATGGAGCGCCAACCGCCTTCATCCTCGCGCTCCCCCAAGCGCCCACGCAGTCCCAATGCTGCATCCAGCGACCAGAAGAAGCCGCGACTGTCCTCCTCCCCACCTATCGGCTCTGTGCGCGACGACACGCTGCGTATCGTCACCCAAGTGCTGCGCGACGAGAACCGCCAGCTCATGGAGGACCGCGATGCCCTCGAAAAGAGCAAAGCGGCGCTGACGGAGAAACTCGCACATACTCAGCGCAGTTTGAGGGACATGGAGGACGATATGGCTCGCTTGTATCGCCAGAAGCAGAAGGAGATGGACACACAGCGTTGCGAGTTCGAACAGAAGCTGCAAGAGGCTACAGCAAAAGAGTCTAAGGAGATAAACGCTACTCTATTATACTCCAAACAGACAGCTAAAGAGATGAACAGCTTCTTACGCAGCTGTGAGCTCTGGAAAACGAGATTTACTGCATTAACTGGGCAGCTAGAGATAAAGACGGAGAAAATAGCAGCTCAGCAGGTACAGAGCGTCGTCCGAGACCTGGTGACGAGTGTGGAGGTCAAAACACTCAAGAACGAGGCAGAGAGAGAGCAGAGGCTGTTGCAATGGGCCACGTGGATCCAGGAGGACACTGCTAAGTGTCTAGAAGAGAGAAACAATGAGAGACAGGACACGGAGGCCTTTGAGGCCATGGAGAAGCAGTTAATGGCCGATCGAGTGGTGGAGTTGGAGACGCAGTTGGCGCAGAAGAGAACAGTGGAGAAAGAGAAGGAGATGGAGCTGTCTTCTTTAAGAGCAGCACAGGAAGAGACTGTAGTGAAGGAGGAGGCTGAAGCTGAGAAGAAGAGAATGGCTAAAGAATTGGAACAGATGAAGAAGAAGATGGAGATTTTGACGCAGGAGAATGTGACGTTAAAACAGCTTAACGATAAGCTGGAGGAGAAACATATGTAGAGATGCAATGATTGGTTCTTAGAGCCTCTGGTACCATGTACCAGGTATTACAAGAGTGACAGGTCACTCTTCATCTAACTTTGGTACACTGGGGGTACGTACCCCGTTACAATGGGGATGAGAGGACTTGTGTAAAAGAAGGAGAAGAAAACTTGTGCTGTAGACGGTAAAACAGGTTGTGATTGAAGAAAGTTGGTGGGCAGCAAGGCTAACCTTGCAGGCCACTTCTTTAGATATTTGTGTCTAGTGTAGCTTACATGATACTTCTCTTATGCAATAAGAAGTTTATCTAATAGGATTATGTGCTACACATCATGCTTTTAAGGAGTCCGACTGTATGCATTGACACAGTATTTGGATTAATTTTTATGTACCCATACATGATTAGTAATGTGGGCCGTTTCCTACTTCATACACCAAGCAAAGGTGACACTACTCCTTCGTGATCAACAAAAAGATTATGCACAGTGCGGGATGCATCATCTTTCGCTGCTCCTTTCGCGACGAAAGAGAACACAGGTTATCTTTGATAACACCGAAATTGGACCCCTCGCGCTCACTACTGGGTTATCGCTGATAACATCGCTAACCCCTCTTTCGCGGCAATCTCGACGTCGACGCTTTTGGTGTTCGGCGAGACTCTACCGTACGCTAAGACGCAAACAGTATGTGCATGCTTTCTTCAACCACACCTCAAGTGCTGCTGGGTCAGTGTCCACGCGTTTCTGATGACATAGCGGCGACCACAGCTGGTTGAATCAAAAACCTTCTTCAAAGATCGGATCTGCTCAAGTACTGTAACTTCTAAAGTCAGAGTTGAAGGGAAGTACATAGAGGTCACAAAGTTTGAAGCGGGAAACAACTTCACTCTGGGTCACAGGCTGCCAGCCTTTGTCAACGTGTGTGAACCTTCGTGCAGATTTATACGCTACCTTGACAAAGCTCAATCCTCGTTTCATTCTTCGATTTGCCAAAAGCACCACGACTATTGCAGCAGCTATGAAGATCCAAGCTGCTATCGCCGGTCTGCTCTCCTTCGCTGGTCTTACCAGCACCTCAGCGGAGCCGTCATGGCACAACCTCGCCATCACCGCGCCGCAATACGGGCGGTATCTTACCCGAACAGTCTCCGAAGAACCTTTCTTCTGGCAAGCCGACACCGCGTGGGAGCTCGTACATCGTCTCAATAAGACGTCCATCGAATTTTACCTCAAAACCCGAGCCGAACAAGGCTACAACGTCGTCCAGACTGTCGTGGTCTCTGAACTAAACGGTACGACGCGTTCGAATTTCTACGGCGACCTACCGTTCAACAACTCGGACCCAACTCAGCCGAACGACGCGTACTTTGAGCTGGTGGACTGGACCGTCGATCTGGCTGCTAGTTATGGTATTCTGATCGCCTTAGTGCCTACTTGGGGCATGTACGTGAACGGAGGCTGGCATAGTACTTCCCCTATTTTCAATGAATCGAATGCGTACGAGTGGGGCAAGTACATTGGCCAGCGTTACCCTGGTCTACCAAAGATCCTTGGCGGTGACTCGAACGCCATGTGGTCCTGGAACATGTCGGAGGTCCAGGCCGCATACGCTGAAGACCCGGATCAGGACTTGCCGTCCCTCCTTGCTCCGATTGAAGACACGTCGTCGGTATGGGCGAGTATGCGTCGTGGTCTGAAGGAAGCAGAGAGCACTCAAGGCTACGAGTCTGTAGTTATCTACCACCCGACTGCCGGATGGATTGTTAAGCCCGAGGTTACTCCGGAGGCCTATGGACACAACATGTTGCCGGATGAAGAGGACAGAATGTCCATTGATGCAGTGCAATCGGGTCATGCTACCCCCGATCCGACCTCTAAATTCACACCAACTATTGGCTGGGATTCAACCAAGAACTACGAGGTGATTGCCAACATGAGGGACCGCTTCACTGGCCCTGTAATCGATCTGGAGAACCACTATGAAGGTGCGCACGACAGCTTCAATTTGGAACGTCAGATCTGGAACTCTTCCCAGATTCGAACGGGTCTGTACCATGGCGTGTACAACGGTGCCTCTGGCTTCACGTACGGTGCCAACAGCGTGTGGCAGATGTACGAGCCTCGCTCGGCTTTACTGCGTGACAGTGACTACTACGCCCCGCAAATTAACCAGAATGCGTCTGGTTCCTGGCGCGAAGATGTTTACTTTGAGGGGGCCACACAGACCCAGTACGTCACAAAACCCCTGCAGAACTTGACTGTTGCTGTTCTCGAAACGCTGGAACCTGCTCGTGAAGTGTTGGCCAGTCCTAGTGGCCACACGGGCAAGTCGGTGAACACGTACGAAGGCACGCGCTACATCTCCGTTCTTGCTTCAAAGAACCGTGACCGCTATTATGTGTACACGGGCCACGGAGACTCGTTCGCGTTGCAGCTTGACAACGGATCTGGTGCTCGCTCGGGAAGTGCTCGTTGGTTCTCCCCTCGTGACGGACAGTACTACGCGAACGCTACGGTCAGTGTTCCGGAGAGCGGCAATGCTACTCGCATCGACTTCACGCCTCCTTCAGGCGGCAGCATTGACGATGACTGGTTGCTGGTACTGGAGTTCTAAGACAGGACGCCCGACACACCTAATGTTTTTTT